TGAAGGCGGTCCAAAATGCCTAACGTCGCCTTCGGAAGCCCATAAGAGGAGAGGAGGCAGCCTTCGGATGCCCATAAGAAGAGAGGAGGCAGGCTTCGGACAGGCCACAGAGAGGCCGCAACAAACCTGCCAGCTGCCGAGAGAGGAGGCAGGCCTCGGACAGGCCACAGAGAGGCCGCAGCAGGCCTGCCAGCTGGCGAGGCCTCGGACAGGCCTTTGGAAGTGCTTGGAAGGGTTTTGCTAGGCTTGGCCAACTGCTTCACTTCACCCGAGGGTTTGAAGGCGGTCCAAAATGCCTGGCCACAGAGAGGCCGCAACAAGCCTGCCGGCTGCCGAGGAGGGTTTGAAGGCGGTCCAAAATGCCTAACGTCGCCTTCGGAAGCCCGTAAGAAGAGAGGAGGCAGGCTTCGGACAGGCCACAGAGAGGCCGCAACAGGCCTGCCAGCTGCCGAGAGAGGAGGCAGGCCTCGGACAGGCCACAGAGAGGCCGCAGCAGGCCTGCCAGCTGGCGAGGCCTCGGACAGGCCTTTGGAAGTGCTTGGAAGAGTTCTGCTAGGCTTGGCCAACTGCTTCACCCGAGGGTTTGAAGGCGGTCCAAAATGCCTAACGTCGCCTTCGGAAGCCCATAAGAAGAGAGGAGGCAGGCTTCGGACAGGCCACAGAGAGGCCGCAACAGGCCTGCCAGCTGCCGAGGAGGGTTTGAAGGCGGTCCAAAATGCCTAACGTCGCCTTCGGAAGCCCATAAGAAGAGAGGAGGCAGGCTTCGGACAGGCCACAGAGAGGCCGCAACAGGCCTGCCAGCTGCCGAGAGAGGAGGCAGGCCTCGGACAGGCCACAGAGAGGCCGCAGCAGGCCTGCCAGCTCACGAGGCCTCGGACAGGCCTTTGGAAAGGCTTGGCCAACTGCTTCACTCTGCGGTGTCCCAGGCGCCTCCCCGCCTAGGCTTTGGCTATAGGCCGGGGTCGGCGGATATGTTGATCATGCTTCAGCTGACGAATCGTTGCATCATTGACTCCTAGCATGGAGTCTAGGATGCTGTCCCGCGCTTGCCACCGTTGCCGCCGCCGCAACCATCAAAGCGGTCGGAAGCAGAGACGCTTGGAAACCCAGATGCAAAGAATAATACTGCGAATTTCGAATGGATGGCATGATAAAATTGAGCAGTTGTCTGGTGTTCACATTGGTTTCTTGATTCGCCAAGCTTCTGATCCTCATGCCGTCGTCACAGCGGTCTGATAGACCCCACATCACTATGGAGGGTCCTGGACTTGCCACACCTGGATTGGGTACGGTAAGTCTCATAGCAACGTTGCGGGTGCCCGAACAACTGGTGCGTTTTGTCTTACGCAGATATGGTGAAAGATGTGAAAGGATTCTTCGTGCACAACATTGACTGCAACCCTGCAACCCACTAGTTGAGAGTTGAGAGCAGCGGCCTCCATTCTTACGGCATTTCTTCCAACTACTGTATATACAGGGTCACGTTTCGCTTGCTCAATACCTCGAGGCAGACGCCACTCACAAAGGAGCAAGAGATCAAAGGAAGCCTCACACTAGAAGAAGGCTGGTGACAGAGAGACGTACGCAAACCATTCATCTTCCAGCTACCTGCAACACTCAAGGTTTGTTGCCTCACGCACACACTGCAAGTTTGACCATCTATGACCATGCTTGTGAGGACAGTGACTGAGTCCCAAACACTTTCCACGCTCAACGCATCAACGGTCCCGGCGTGTCGACCTCGTGAGGCCGTGTGGCTGGGCATGTGCAATGGGGGACCTACCACAGCTACCTCAAGGCGCCCTCGAAACATGAGCGCCGGCATGGACGGCGCGGGCACGCGCACGCAGGCGTGCGTGGAGTCCATCTCACTGTAATTGATCTTATTGAGTTATGTGTTCGTAAAATTGGACAACACATGTATTGTTTTCGGAAGGGTTGGCAATATTGTGAGATCATAACAAGTCAATGAGACGCATTGAGTCGCATGAGGTGGCAGGAAGCCCATGTTTGACCGTCTCGATCGGTCACCTGCCAACAGGCCATGGGCTACTTCAACTTTGTTGTGCACTGGCCCAGTCATCCCTGCCCAAAGGGTCAACCGGGAGCTAGGCAGCTAGGGTTCTAATCTTTGGCGCAAGGGTTCCACTGCTGTTTGGGGCAGTTGGATGGATTAGTTGCAAAGGCTGAATCAGAGTGTTCGGGACCAATGGGCTCATGTCCTTGGGCCAGCTGGCGTGGCAATGTATATACCAAGGGGAAATCTGCACGATTTGCAGAAGGGCAGGGTTTCTTGGAACTGCAGTGCTGCTTGGAACTCCCAACTCTCCTGACATGTCAAACATCCGGAAACCAATCAGGTGATGTTCGTGGCTCTTGCTGGCATAATGCTGTTCCAAAACTTCTGCAACCTGTGGATTGTGCAAGCCTGGCTCGGCTTGGGAAGGCATCACAACAGTGACTCCTGGAGCGTGAAAGCTCTGTAGAAGCTGCGGTGACTAGTTCCAACGTACTTGTCACGATATGGTCTTGTGTTTTTTTGGCATGCACCTTTGCGCCACCACTACTATCACTTCTTCCTCCTCCTCCTCCTCCTCCTCTTCTTCTTCTTCTTTTCCTCTACCTTCATTTTCAAGTCGACTGCATATTACCTTGTGCTCCGGCTACTCCTGCCACTATCATGGGAGATAACATCGCTAGCTGCTAGCCTCCTTAGTGTGGATAGCCATACTGCTGCCAGTGCTGCTGCGCGGAGCTTCTCCTACGTCTACTGTGATACTCTGCAGGAAACTGACACGGCTATGGTAAGTGTCCCTAAAAATCTAGAAACCAAATCATTAGTGCGAGCGCGAGCTATCCTGCGTCCAGTAGGTAGTAGCTTACTTGTAGGTACTAGCTACCTAGCTACTTACTAGCTACCTAGCTACTTACTAGCTACCTAGCTACTACCTCCTAGCGGCCTACCCGCTAAAAATATAAAATATAAACCATATTATCTTTATTTCGAGAGCTTTCTTTGAAGAGGCCTTCAAGGCTTTTGGTGTTGCAAACTACTGACTTCCCACAGTCTAGAACACTCCGGCATGCCAGGTATTGGACGTCTGAAAAGAAGGAGACCGCGTTGATGTACAGTTGGATGAAGGCGATGTGAGTTCCAGAGCACAGATGGAGATGGGTTGGTGGTTGTACGAGGCACCCCTGCAAGATTCTTCATGTCCATCTGTTGTGATGCCACAAGATTTCCAACATCGCTTGCATTCAAGTGTGCAATCTAGGAGAGCTGCCAATGCACAGAAACTGCAAGACTGACCAACATGGAATGGACATACATGGCTCTCAACGAGGGCTTAACTTGACCAAGGTGCCACTTCAGTATGTGAAAGACATGTCTTTACAGTACTAGTCTTATATCGCTTGCAGGCCATTGGAATTGCACCTCCCACAGATACCCGCACCATGCTGTGGGTCTATGGTGGTTTGGCCTGAAGCTCAGAAGCCACCAATGATTTTGGGTGCTCCCCAGTCGGTGCCTCTCACGTGAAATGCTCAGTCAGGATGGAAGAATCAGCCCATTGTTGCTGCATTGCCAATGAGCTACCAATGACCCATCAGGGCAGGTCAGGGCGCATATAGTCTTGCGTCGGAGGTGGAACGACTCTTGACTGCATCTTTGCATTCCACACTGAGATTGCATGCTTCTTCATCTCCAACTTTGCTGGCCATGGAATGGAGATTGTTGGTGGCATTCGTGATCTCCTCAGCCTGTGCTCAAGAACTCAGAGATAAACCGAACATTATTGCAAACCTCATCATTCATGATTCTGGTCCCAGATGCTTATGCAGGTTGCCAGGACTTGATACATGTGTAGGCATGCAGAAGGAATCATGACAGGTCGTTTCAATCAGTTTGGTCCAAGATCAGTAGGATACGACATCTTCAATTCGGATACAGTAGCAACATTGCTGAATGGTATTTCATGACTAAAACAGCATCCCCAAAGAGGGGCATTTTGGCAGGAATAGGGTGGGATCATCGCTGAACTAGGGAAGGTATATAATGTATGTTGGAAGGGTCGGTGGTGCACACTGGTCGGCACGCCCATATGTCAATGTGAGAGTGAAGTGGGAATCCTCCATTTGTTTGAATGCTTGGAGCACAGATCTCCCCACAACGAGTCAGTCAGAGATTTATATATGTCCTGGAGGAAATTTGTAGGTGTTCATGCAAAAAGAGGAAAACCCACTGGTTTTGGTAGGATTATTGCGCTTTCTAAGGGTTTTGTGGAGGTGCCCTCCCCGATGCTGCCTGAAGCGGTTATAATAGTTGTAGTTTCTTCACAACGTGCACCGGTGTCCACCTGGACAAGCTTTTCGGAGAGGACACCCAAGGCCAGTCAGGTCATTAGGTGGAAGCCTGCTCAGGCTTGAGCCTGGTTCAAACATGCTTCCCGCGGTTTGAACACTTGGGCAAAATCCATGTTCGTGATGCTTAAGCCAGGATGAAATCAGAAGGCTTGGTATCCAAGGTTCAACATGTTGGACTTGCTTTGCACTCAACAACTTCTACAGCATCTAGTTTGCCAGTGGGATTCCTGTGTAAGTCACGAATGTGGCCAACCATCAGGTGCTGCAAAAAAGATCTTCGCCCCTGCCTTGGAGCGAACTTGCATCAAGAACCACTTTCCCGGTCTAGGTGATTCAGTTGGTGGTTTGCGAATCCGAATAAGTATATTCTTCCCGACATGCAACTTGGATGAGTAGAGAAGGGTAAAGTCGAGAGGTCTATCGAGGTCTTGAATGAGTCTTTTCGAGAAATTGGTTCAAGACTGCACTACTTGTACCATGCTCAAGATACTAACTACTAGTAGCTAGAAGCTACTAGTAGCTCCTGGCATCGCTACTGGTAGCAAGGGCATCGCTACTAGTAACAAGTGTTCATGCAGTTCACGAAGCAGTAGCACAATTTCAGCTTTCGCCCAAGGCAGGCGCATTGGACGGAGCGCTTTACAAGCCCTTCCAGTGGTGGGTAAGGGCCCCAGCTGCAGGAAGGAAGGTTCGCCAAGCAGGATCTCCCCAAAAGCACTTTCAAGTTCAGTTCAGCTGGCTCATTCCATAACTGAGCAGTTGGCCCCCTTCCACAAGCACCCAGTCACCTGAGTGGAGGCAGCCTTTGGATTCGACTGTTTGGTTGGGCCCGATACAGATACAACAATGTTGCCAGCTTAAGCAGGATTCATCGGCCTAGGCGTTGCGCTGGAGTGGTTGGTCTTTATATAATGAATGGAATGCCGGGAGCATAGCCAAAGCGCCACAGTGCAGGACTCGAACCCGACCGGGCGTGTGCTGAACCGCTTCTCTGCGGATGTTGAGGCCGCTTTCCTGAAGTGAACAAGAAAGAATTGGGATGGGGTAGGAGCAAGGACGCTACTAGGGGCTTGTGGCATCGCTACTAGGATTAGAGACGAGAATTAGAATTTAAATTCAATTAAAATTCAAAATTGGTAGCTGTGTGCCCCTCAGGTTTTATTCGTCTACTCTAGACTCTAGTTGGTCCATTGGGCCTTTGGTTGATTTCAGGTACGGTAGACCTTCTCTGATCTGTTTACTGCCGAAAATAGCAAGGGAGCGCAAGCTAGTTTGTCGGCGATTTCAGATGAACATTGAATATACTTAATTTATCTTATTATGAGCCATTATATATATATATTATAGCAGTTTGCATGTTCTGATCTACTTGGAGCATCTCACATCCACAATTAGGATGTCAAGGGACCATGCTCTTTGAAGGCAGATCACAGCACCAGTTGGATCAGTTCAGTTAATGCAGAGCACAACAAATGTCCATAACTCAGAAATCACAAGCAGTGGATTTCAGCCAATGCTCCTTGATCCTTCCAGCTAGCTTTTGAGTGGCCCTTGTGAGCCATTTAGCACTTAAGGATGATATGTCAGTTCAGTTATTTGTCATTTATCAAAGATCTCCAAAATGTGGGCCCAAACGAAACGTCCCTTTGGTTGCTGTCCGCCTTTCGGTCCTTTTCGAATTGACAGGTGATGGACAAGGCCGTGACCAACATTTTCGGCAGCTGGGATTAATGGAAGGTCCGAGTGCTATATTGGTCAAGTAGACCAGGCACCGTTTTCTTTGCAATGCAAGCTTAGGCATCATCATTGGAGCTGTGCTGTTCTTCTTGGGACACACCTTGGCCCGTCCCTCAGATGTCTTTCGGTAAGGTGGTCCTGTCGAGAAATTGCATCAAGTTGGAACAGTCTAAATAGAAGCCCAACACAACCACCTGAGTCAAAACCGGTCAAAGCCATTGGAAGCTGCCTTATTGGACTGCTGAGCTCGCTTTTTTTCGATCCGACTTGCAGCATCGAAGCCATGTGTTGCAGAAACCTGGGATCCTCATCAAGGATGATGACCCATGGTTGCCCTAACTTATTTTAGAGGACTGTAAGTGATTCCTGCCATTGGATCCGCTGCAAGTCGGGCGCATCACCCAGCCGTTCAGGTGTTGACCTTCTCGAGCCCTTTGTCGATCATTCTCTTGCCGGGGATTGTCTTGCAACTTGGAGTGAACGACCAAACGGCCGGAGTGTTTTTTTCCCTCCTTATTTTTCTGCAAGCTCGTCTCATGACTCATAGTCATAGTTGCTGACATGTGGTGTTCAAATAAGCCAACCTCCTTGCAAGATATTGCAAGCATTGCCAATCTTTCGGGAGGTTGGTTGTCAGAACGACGATTTGGAGGTGTCAGGATCAACTGCCCGCATCTCGCTGAGGCTAATGGAGTACTTTGCACGCTATTATCGCAACACCATCCGTGAAATTCAGCGTGGGAGCACTCGGGCTTTTGGCACTTGCGAGAAGGTCACAGACTTGCAAGATAGATCAAAATAACTACAGTGTACCTATGCCTTGCCAAATTGCATGGTGATCATGGTATCAGTATGTATCAATTGTAACCCCTTTGGTCAAGATTTAGCAGGACGAACTCTGGGCAAGAAAGAAAAGTCTTGGACCACTGCAGGCAAGATCGGTGGTATCTACCCGGTAACCCGGGAAGAAGAAAGATACATGGCTCTTGCCTCCTGCAGCTAAATGTCAATGATTCCTCTTTGGCCTTGCTTTTGATTCTTGATTTCGAATTACTTGACCGTCCCGCTTCTGAAAGATTGCCCCGGTGGTGCTGAGGTTTGTACTTGGTGAGTCAGTTTGCCTCTGAGCATAGGGCTTGTGCATGAGGATTGTGGACGGTAGAACAGACAGGACAGTACTGCCACCACTTCTCAAGTTCATGTGATTTATTGTGTATATGTATACTGTATACTCATTGACGTACATATTTTTGATGAGCTCATGAATCTCTGAGCTCACGGATTCTGGCCAAGATTTTCTCTAAAGACAGGTCAGAGGTCTACCAAGAGATGACGGATGCAATCACCGGAGGCGAGTTCTTTGGGGGCTGGGTGTTGATGATTTTTAGAAAGGTATATATATATACATATAATATACATGTGTTTTTGTTTCGTTTCCCTGTCAGACTATCACTTTGGAAAGCCAGAAGGGCAGTTGTAGATGAAAGCTATCACTTGTATTTGCAGAGGTGAAAGAAAGGGTAGGGCAGCAGGCAAGCTGACTTGTGATTTTGAGCTTCATGTTTGCTTGGCCTCGCTTGCAACCCTTTTGGCACAGATGCTTGTGACAATAGTTTGCATGGAACATCGAGCATATGTTGTAAAGTTGTAAAGCTTAGGCACCCCTTGTACGAGAGGGTTTAATGATATCGACTGTAGGCGAACAAGTTATTCTGTTTGGAAGACGGCAGAATGACTACAGTAAAGCAATTATTCCACCACCACATGATAAAGAATCACTTTTCTGCTTGGCGAGAGTCCTACAGTAGCTGTAAACTAGTGTTGAGGAGGGAGGCTACAGTAGCTGTCTTCCTCTTGCCATGTTCAAAAAGCGGGAGCGGCCGAAGGCTACACGCTCGAGTCGAGAAGACGAGGAGGATCCCAGCACCGTGGCCTCGGGAGACTTAGCTGCCAAGAGGAGACGCCGCGGCGCCGTGGCCTCGGCCACCACGGAGGGTGGAAACATCGGTGCCTCCTCTCGGAAAGAGCCCATGTCGGAGGCAGCCCGCTTGGCTGACCGGCAGCAGGACGCTGTGTTTTCCGGCTTCAAGGCGAGTGGTTCCACGGAGAACACCCCCTCCTCCGATGCCGTCCGGAGGCTGGAGGTGGACACCGATGTGAGTCAAGACCACCGGGCGATTCTGGAGCGGAATGAGCAAATCAACAAAGGCTTGAAGGATGGAACGCTTGAGAAAGGCGTTTACCGAGGTCTTGGAGGTTACAAACAATATGCAAATAGAAGTGAACATGCAATTGCCAATTCCAAATATACAGGTTTGCTCGGGCCGTTGCGAAGCAGCCTGAGCAACGTGCGCAGCACCTTGCGAATCGAGTACATTGGCACGACTGGTGAAGGTGGGATTTGCAAAGACTACAAAGAGACCGGTTATTGTGGCTTTGGAGATTCTTGCAAGTTTGCGCATGATAGGTCAGACTACAAGCCCAGCTACATTTTGGAGCAGGAATGGGAGGCCAAGCAAAAAGAAATCGAGGCCAAGCGACGGAAGAGATGGGAGAGGAAGATGGAAAGGCGCAGAAAAGCGGAAGAAGAAGGGCGCCCCGTCGAGGATGATGATGACTCCACTGTCAGCACGGATGAAAGTGATGATGAGGAGTTGCCCACGGAGTGTTTTGAGTGTGGGGAAGCTTGGCAGCGCTGCAAGAGCATTGCCGTGCAAACCACTTGCGGCCACTATTTTTGCGAGGATTGCGCCATGGCGGCCTTCTCCAAGTCGCAGAAGTGCTCGAGGTGTGGCGCCAACACCAACGGCATTTTCAACTCTGCAGAGACCTTGCAGGACAAGTTGAAAGCCAAGAAGGAGCGCCGTGCCGAGAGGAAGAGGATGAAAGCGACCAAGCGCAGAGACCTCCAGAACACCTTCGGGGTGAGCACTGAAGGCAACTTTGTGTAAAGATCTCCTTTTGCGAATGGCAGATTGGAGCCAGACATGGGCTGTAATTCACAGATGGCTCGACCGGTATGTTGTGGTCCTCGTTGAAAAGAATATGTCCAACGAACAGTTTAGGGAAATTTGCAAGTGAACCCGGATTCCGACATATTTTGACATGTTTTGACTCTTGATTCGCTTCATCCAAAATATGCTCCTCTATCCAGGAAGCCAAACGGTTGTATTATAAGTCATGTGTATGAACAGACTCGTGAGGTTTTCGGACATCCAGGATGTCGGTTTTCCACGCTGCGATGGCAGGTGTTACAATTCGTGCATACAGCGCCAAGGAGCAGGTCGACCGGACATTTAGCGGGTCGAACCTGTGGGAACCTGTTGCTTTACAGTGGTTTCAGAGTCGATGGCACAAGCCTCTGCATGTCTTTTCGATGGGTCCACATATAAACCACCTTTGGCGGATAGTGACATCTACTCTGAAACCACTGTAATTAATTGTTCTTTCTTTGGTGGTAGCGAAGGCTGAGGACAGGCCAGACCTAGACGGATCGAGAGAGTGACATACCAGGGAATTGTTTATTGCCCCATATGTCTTACACGTCACGTGCTTACACCAAAAAGGACAGTGAGACAAAAGCAAAAGAAGCATGTGTTGTCTTCTATACGATGGGTCATAGGATCCTGGCAGGATTGTTTGAAGAGGTCCTTCTTTCCCAACACGCACACTGGACGATTCTTCAAAGTTCAAGGATTCACGGGGCACATCTCAGAACTATATAAGCAGTTGGAAAAAGCAAGAGACACCAAGTGTTCAGAATCCGTTTTTTAAGGGTATTAGAACATATTAGAACACATTCTGTAGACTTCTGTAGACTACTGTACTGGTTTGTAGGAGTGCCCTTGCACAGATGTGGTTCTTGTGCAATTCGGGGATTCAGCCGCAGACATGGCAGGTGCTTATGCGATGCCTTCTAGATTTGGAGGCTCCAGTTTGGTTTTTGGAAGGAGGTGAATCGTTGTGAATCGTTGGTGCCACGCACTATACCACGGCACTATACCACGCACCAGGAAATTCTGGGATTCCTTTGGGGCGAGTGTGTGTGTGCCTGTGCAGGCAATTCATAGTTGGTTGTCTTTGGACTTTTATCTAAAATGTAAAATCAGGATAGAGCAAGAAATCAGGCTTCCAGTGACTGACCTGGTCCAATGAAGCTAGGTCACTTGAAGGGAAGTGGTCCGGGAAGCTCAACCATGTACCCACCTGACTTTACATCACAGCGATGCTTTCACGGCTCCATGACAGGAGGCAGAGTTCTCGGCAGACTTGTTTGTCAACTCTCTTCTTTTTCACTACTCTCTTCTTTTCGCAGCAGAGCGATTCTTTGGTGTCGGTCAATGACGACTTCCGCCCTTTTGACACTTCCTTGGATTGGAACCTGGAGCAGTTGCGCTTGAAGTCTTTGAGACATCCTTGTTCGGAGCGTTTACACGTGAAAGTTTGAAACTTCCTTGGAACTTGGAGTGTTTGCACTTGAAAGTTTGACACTTCCTGGATTTGGACCTGGAACATTTGCACAAAAACCCACGCTTTTGACGATCCTGTTTCACTCAAACCCTTTTCACCTATGTTTCGTCAGGGTTTGTTGCATTCAGGGCTTACATACTTCATATTACTTCATCGTGCTCTTCTGAAAGCAGTCGGTGCATGATGGTACAGTACAGCTTCCTAGTTTGACACCGGGCCCTCATACATGTGGCTGTGTCAACAGTTGATTTCATCCCAGTGTCTTCGAGACAATAGCGTTCACATGATTTCCAGTCAACCACTATATTATAGGGTGTCTTGCAGCAGTTCCATTGATCATGACCACTGTTCATTGTCGGTTGCTACTGGACAAATACCTGTAAAAGGGTAATACGTATATTGTAATATTACAACCCCCATCAACCCCCACAAAAGAAGTATGGCCAACCAAGCCCTTCTTATTGGTTGGCCAAGCAGTGGTCATTGTAAGATATTTCAAGCCTTTTCATGCTGTTTGATTCAAATTTTCCGGCAGTCTCATCGTTGCACACTTGCCACACCCTTTGCGGACAGGAATTCCAGCGCGCCAGCTTCGTGAAGACGTCGGAATCTCAGTTGAGACCGTCGTAACTGGGTGTTTGCTGACATGTATGATTATCCTGTTTCATTTATCCAATGCTGCAGTACTGCAGTACTGATCAGAAAATTTGGTTTGATGCGAGATGGTTGTGGAACGTGTGTTGACAAAATGTTGACATGCTATTCAAATTCTAATGTGTATGATTATATATTATATATAGACACTCCGTATGCACTGTACTTGAACATCTTGAACTGCGTGTGAAGAAACTGCATTAAACAGTTGCCTTTTTGAGATGTGCTTAAAACAACATGCTCACAACATTGGTGTTTTGCAGCCTGGAACAACCGAGGGCATTGGGACAATGGATCGGACTGTTTCAAGCTGAGTGGTCTTAATTCAACCGTGATTAAACTAAACAGTGTGTTCAATGCGGTGGCAAACCACCTGTGGAGTCATCTCTTGTTAGCAACTGGCTTTGACTCAGGCGCATGGGACTTGTTGGCTTTATTCTGAGCACCTTCAACCAGCTTCAACCAGCGACATAGCTGCATCTACAGCTCGCGGCAGGGGGTCACCCGTTGTCCGGGCCATGCATGCAAGCTTCATCAGGGATGAATTCGGGTGACGCACACGTTTGCTTCTGCAAGTCACTTCAGGCATTTGCAGGCCTTAGGCTGGGTGAAGGGGAAGTTGAACATTATTCTGTGGGGGTTCTTTTGTGTGTGTGTGTGTGTTGCCCCTCAAGCCTCGTAACCATCTACTGGGACATGCATGGTCGCCGCCCATCCTGCTAGCCGTACATGGGCTCACGGTTGGCTTTGGCCGAAGCCGAGCCAGTGTCGAGCCAGGACTGCCTGCGCAAAAGTCAGAGGGGAAAAGATGCAGGGACTCTGCGGAGAGCTTCACACACCTAACTTCTTTACACCTGAGCGATAGCTGGTAATAAAGGTAAGCTGCTTTACAAGTTGCTTGTGTAATTGGACGTAGGCAATCATTGCCTTCACATCGCTCGGATTTTTGTTGCTGGAAGATTTCCTGCACCACTTGTAACCTCAATGGCGCAGGATTCATTCCTCCAAAAGTAGGTCTGTGGGTTTCTTGCTGCAAGGATGGGCTGCGCCAGCTCAAGAGTCACTGGCGTACTCCCCTCGCAGGTGCATTTTGACACAATTTGACCACAACAGGTCACCAGGAAGCGTGATTGATGTTCAAGTAGCATTTGTGCTCGTTTGATGATCGCCCTGGCACTTCCGCATGGCGGAGGCCCTGGAGCCTTGCTGGATCCAGAAGGAGATTGAGGTCGGGGCTGTCCACTCAAGTGGTTCAATGGCCAAGACCTGCGCCATCGAGGAACTTGCTAATCTGAGCATTTTGAGTCATTTTGCTGATGAGGGTGATTGTTCCAATGAGACACCATCAAACGTTGAGTTTCACAATTCCAACTGGAGGTGTCTGACATTCACCTCCAAGAGATGGCGGGGGAGGTGAACAAGTGCATAGTCCAGTTTGGGGACCGCCACTGGGCGGATTGTCCGAAGTCCTAATCAGCATCATTTAGTTGACGCGCTTGCTGTGATTGATGGAGTTGGCTGTTAAGTTCCAAGAAGCACTCTAAGGAGCCGAAGCAGAATGCACTGAACCAATAGGCCAGACAGACTATGATTCCTGGAAACATCAGGCCCGGAAATGAAAATATATATACTTGTAGCCCAAAAGCACACTGGCTCTTCAGAGTTGTTGTTGGTTTGGTCTAATTTAGGCTGAATCTGAATCCAAGTGGTGTAGAAGAGTCGGTGGCTCATGATGGCCTTGGCGGCCTATGTGAAGGTGCCGAACTGCAAGTCTTGATATGTCTGACTGATGGAGACTGGACATTTGCGCAGTTTGAGACGTGGATTTGCTCTTTTTTCCGGCAATTTAACCGAATTCAGTCCGCAAATTGTCACTGCCTGCAGATGGATTCCACAGACATGAAAGCCTTGAAGGCAGGATTCCCACTGCCAATGAACAAGCAGCTTTCCGGCAATTTCAGATGCTACCAGCAAAGCGGGGTTTTTTCTTGTTTTTTTCTTGACCAGAGCAATTTGAATGTTCTCTTGCTGATCTTCAAGCCATACTCAGGTTGGCCAACGACGTAAAAGCAAAGAAGATGAACACATGCCTCCGTCAGACCCTGAGTTGAGCTAGCGTCAACTATTGCTGTTTGCAACTATCAATATTCTTTATCATTCTTTGATATTCTTTATCTTTATCTATTGCATACTATTCTTCAGCCAACCGAGAACACTCCGTGCGGGAACGCTCAGTTAAATTGGTCGACGACCCTTCAGCTTTGCAAAAAGCTGTGAAGATCAGACGTATGGAGCTTGAGGCTGGGAGGATCTGGGAGGCATGGGAGATCCATGGCAAAGCTGGCTTAGGGCGCAAAAGCAGGTGTGAGCGGATTCGCAGGCAGAGCCAGCAGAGCTCAAGCACATGGGAGGCCCAAAAAGTCAGTCTCATGGAACTTCAGAGTTTACAGCGAAACGACCCAAACGACAAACGAAACGAGGCCCATGTTCGCAACAGCAGGTGCCAAGGTCTTGCCTTTCACCGCCCTATCCGTGGCTGCAACGACTCTGCTTGGTCTCAGTCGTCAAGTTCGGGATCGGCTCTGCAGCCGCGTTCCAGATGCCTGTCATGGTTTCTTGTTCCATTTTGGAGTCCAAGGATGTTGAAGTCCATTGTGGTTCATCACTGGACCCGGTCTTGCCCGGTCCTCGCCTTCTTGGACGCAAGTTTGAGACCACGCTCCACAAAGCCAGGGTCACTGGACCCGGAGAGAGTAGGTTCTGCGTCTTCTTGGGTTTCTCCAGATCAAGTCATGAGCTTGTTTGCCAGAACAGCCTTCGCGATGCT